AACAACAACAACAATCTATACAGAAAAGAGTTCTGGTGGCACAGTGCCTAAGGCATTTGACTGCTAACCAGAAGGTTGGTGGTTCAAATCCATCAACCACTCCACAGAAGGAAGACAGGGAATCAACTTCCGTAAAATTTATCACCTCACAAACCCAATGGAAGTCACTATGAGTTGGAATCAACTTGATGGCAGTGGGTTTGAGTTTTTTTTTTTTTTTTTTCCCAGTCTATATGGAAGCAGACTGCCACATCTTTCTCCTGTAGAGCAGCTGGTGGGTTTGAATACCCAACCTTTTGGTCAGCAAGTTAATGCTTAACCACTGTGCCACCAGAGCTCCTTTGACCAATTATAGTAAGTCTTAAAAATAGGCAGCATCAGTCTTTCATCTATGCTCTTTCTTCAGTATTATGAGGGATGGGTCTGTGTCTTTTGTCTTTCTATTTTGATATCCACAAAATAACTTGCTGGGATTTTAATTGCCATTGCATTCAATCTATTCTAGGAAGAACCGACGTCTGAACAATATTGAGCCTTCCTATCCATGAACATGTATTCTCTCCCCATTCATTTAGATCTTTAATTTCTTTCATTAGAGTTTTGTAGTCTTCCTTATATAGCTCCTGTTCATACACATCTTACTAGATTTATACTTATTTTTTTGTTGCTAATGTACATGGTAATTTTTTAAATTTCAATTGTTCACTGTTCACATATAGGAAAGCAACTGACTTTTTGTATTAACCTTGTATTCTATAGCCCTGCTATAATCACTTTTTAGTTTGAGATTTTTGTTGATTATTTAGGATTTTCTACATAGATCATATCATCTACAAACAAAGGCAGTCTTATTTCTCCTCCCAATCTGTATACTTTTCCTTTTCTTATTGCATTAGCTGGGACTTCCAGTATGTGTTAAGAGTGGTGGGAGGGCCATCCTTCTCTTCTCAATCTTACAGGGAAAGTATCTAGTTTCTCAACACTACATATGCTTTTAGATATAATTTTTTTGAATACTTTCTTTATTAAGTGGAGGAAGTTCCCCTATATTTCTAATGTGCTGAGTTTTTATCATGAATGAGTGCTAGATTCTGTCATATGGTTTTTTCCATCTATTGACAAGATCAAATAATTTTTCTTCTTTAGCTTGATGTGATGAGTTACATTAACTGACAACTGATTGTTGAAGCAGCCATGCATACCTGCTATTCCCCTTGGTTGTGATATATAACTTTCTCTATACATTGTTAGATTTGATTTGCCAATATTCTGTTAAGAGTTTTGTTGTTGTTGTTGTTGTTGTTTTAAAATTAGTTTATTAAAGACTGTAGGAAGGCAACAACTTTGATTTGTCATTAAAAAAAAGTTAAGTTTTTTCATGCTGTCGGCTGGTGGTTCAAACCCACCAGCCACTCCTCGGAAGGAAGGTTGGGCAATCCTACTTCCGTAGTGATACTGCCTCGGAAACCCAAGGAGGGGTCACTATGAGTCGGGTTTGACTCGACGGCACATAACATAATAAAAGAGGCTACAGAATTATAAGTTTCTTTCTACTGGAATTTTCTGATAGTACAGCACAGTGTAGTCAATTCTGCATTGCTAGAATAAATTTTAAAAGTCTCTTCAATGCTTCTCTAAAAAAGTAATGAATAATAAACGAAGATGGCATGAAAAAGCCATTTTCTTCTATTCATTCTGTAGTACTGGAGCCAGTATTTTTACCATCATAGGCTACAATTTTTACTTTATTCACTTCAATAAGCTCTGTTACCTCTCTGAATTCAACATCATGCAAAATAAAAGTCCACACATTATGCATAATCTGTATGTATTTAGAGAGCTCCTGAAATTGACTCTGTTCCTGACCCTCTGAGCCAATGCTGAATTTATAGCCTTATCAAACTGAAGTACAACTTGAAGGGCCTGTTGGGTGGTGATCTGTTGAGGTTTATCACCTCATCTAGGCTCCTGAAGACTGTTTCCCAAAGTGGTATTTCTGTGTAACTGATATGCCATGGCTTAGGTGGAGAAAATTGTTTTTCTTATTCAGGACTGCGCTGATGTAGTGCTGGGAAGGTGCTTTCTGCCACGAAGTGGACAGAAGCCCAATAGAAGACTACCTCCAGACCACCTCTCCTGAGGCTGCAAAACCCACAGAGCTGCACCAACCTCTGTTAAAGAATTTTTGTCTATATTCATGAGAGGGATTGGTCTGTAATTATCATTCCTAGTAATGTCTTAACAATCATAACAAATTATGGATAACACTGCCATGATTAGGAATTCCAGAACATTTAATTGTGCTCATGAGGAACCTGTACAAAGAGCAAGAGGCTGCCATTTGAACAAGACAAGGGGACACTACATGGTTTAAAATCAGGAAGAATGTGCATCAGGTTGTATCCTTTAACCATACTTATTCAATCTGTATGCTGAGCAAATAAACTGAGAAGCTGGACTATATGAAGAAGAACACATAGGCATCAAGACTGGAGGAAGACGCATTAACAACTTGCAATATGCAAATGACACAACCTTGCTTGCTGAAAGTGAAGATGACTTGAAGCACTTATTGATGAAGATCAAAGACTACAGTCTGCAGTATGGATTACACCTCAACACACACAAAAAAACAAAAATCCTCACACCTGGACTAATAAACAACATCACGATAAATGGAGAAAAGACTAAAGTTGTCAGGGATTTAATTTTCCTTAGATCCACAATCAATACCCATGAAGCAGGAATCAAGAAATCAGACATCATATTGCACTGGGCAAATGTGCTGCAAAAGACCTCTTAATTTGAAATGCAAAGATGTCAGTTTGAAGGCTAAGGTATGCCTAACCCAAGCCGTGACATTTTCAATTGCCTCCTATGCAATGTGAAAGCTTGACAACGAATAAGGAAGACCAAAGAGTTGATGCCTTTGAATTATGGTGCTGACAAAGAATACTGAAAATATCATGAACTTCCAGAAGAACAAACATATCTGTCCTGGAAGAAGTACAGCTGGAAGGCTGCTCGGAAGTGAGAATGGAGAGACTTTATCTTACCTAGTTTGGTTATGTTGTTAGAATAGGGACCACGCACGAGAGAAGGATATCATGTTGGGTAAAGTATGTTGTTGTTGTTATATGCCGTCGAGTCGGCCCCAACTCACAGAGACCCCTCCTTGGGTTTCCGAGGCGGTATCACTACAGAAGTAGGACTGCTCAACCTTCCTTCCAAGGAGTGGCTGGTGGGTTTGAACCGCCAGCTGTCTGGTTAGCAGTCAAGTGCCTTAAGCACTATGCTACCAGAGCTCCTCGGGTAAAGTATAGCATCAGTGAAAAAAGGGGAAGATCCTCAACATGATGGAGTGAAATAGTGGCTACAACGATGGGCTCAAGTATAGCAAAGATTGTGAAGATGGCACAGGACCAGGCAGTGTTTTGTTCTGTTGTACACAGGGTTGCTATGAGTTGAAGCCAATTCACCGGCACTTAACAACAACAAGAAGTTAAGCCTAGACTAGTTTGGTACTACAGTAGTGTTAGCTTCATGATGAGTTAGAAAGTATTGTCTCTGTTTCTCTTCTCCAGAGATCTTGTAGAGAAGTGGCATTATTTCTTCCTTAAATGCTTGGTAGAATTCACCAGTGGCACAATCTGGTCTTGATGCTTTCTATTTGGGAGTTATTAATTGTTGGTAGAATTTCTTCAATAAAGATAAGCCTAATCCTTTTATCTTATTTTTCCACGTTGACTTTTGGTAGATTGTACCTTTTAAGGAATGCATCCAACTCATCTAAATTACCAAATTTGTTGCCATAAGGTTGTTCATAATATTCCAATATTATCCTTTTAATGTCCATGATAGCCTCTCTTTCACTTCTGATGCTATTATATTGCATCTTCTCTCTTTTTTTCTTGGTTAGTCTAGATAGAAGTTTACCAATTTTATTGATCATAGCAAACTATCAGTTTTTGGTTTTGTTAATTTGCTCTATTGAAGTCTGTTTCTAATTTTATCAATTTTGTCTCAAATTTTTATTATTTCTTTTCTTCTGCTTACTTTGGATTTAATCTGCTCTTCTTTTTCAAGTTTCTTAAAGTGAAAGCTTAGATTTTTAATAATCTTTTCTAAAGTATGTGTTCAATGCTACAAATCTCCCTCTAAGTACTGTTTTCACTGCATCTCATAAATTTTGATGAATTATATTTTCATTTTCATAGTTAAAATACTTTAAAATATGTCTTGAGACTTCTTTGTTGACCTATATGCTATTTAGAAGTAGGCTGTTTAATCCCCAAATATTTTGAGATTTTCTGACTATTTTCCTATTATTTTTAGTTTAATTCTACTACGACAGCTAAGTGCATCTTTAAATTTGTTAAAGTGTGTACTACAGTCCAGGATGTTGACAATGTTAGTGTCTTATTATTTTTAAAAGGAGAAAAATAAAGATTTTTCAGAAGAAAGGACATTTGATGATATATTTTGCTCTCAAACATTAAGGTAAAACTTGTTAAAATTATTTAATTTTTATTTCAAAAGCATTATGATTAGGTACAAATTAATTAGCACATACTTTGTCTTCATCATCAATCTCTCCAGTAGGTAAGCCATGATCTCCTTCAAGAATCCTTTTGGCCTATAATCAAATCAATTAAATAGAATTTAGGGGTAACAAATTTTGTACATGCAACACTTGCCAGGTATTCAGTAAACTTTAATAAATGCTACATTTTTGGCCTATCATATAAAGTGTTGAATGCTTTCTTAAAAATATATATTCAACTATTCTATCAAAATATTTTAAATTAACATAACAAAAACCAATATTGTATCTGATTTCTCACTGAATATATTAAGAAGTGTCTCCAACTTCCTAAGTCCAAAACAGAAGTCTTGATTCCCTTCTCTCCAAACTCAAACCTCCCCTAAATCTTCTCAATCTTAGCAAATGGCACTACAAACCAGAAAACTGGCATCAACTTTGACTCTGCTTATTCTCATCATCCACAACTAAACCATCAGAATACCTTACTGGTTCAACCATCAAAATGTGCATTCATTGTTGTATACCCAAATATAAGATTTATCATTTCTTACCTACACTACTTCAACAACCACACAACTGATCTCTCTGGTTTCACCTCTGCTCTTTTAAAATCCTGGTTCAATATAGTATTCAGTGGAATATTTTAAATCGTAAATCAGATTACGCCACTCCTCTATTTTAAACTTTCCCATGGGTTTCCATCATATTTAGAAGAAGTGGTTGACTATCTATTTTAGATGTCAAGGAAAAAGGGCCATCTCCTATTCTGAGACCTGACCTACTTTCCCTCTTATGACCAGAGGTCTAGAAAAAAGCTTCCCGGTATGCCTCAAGTTGAAGGGAAAATATTCACTTAATTTCCCATGTGATGAACACTAGTTTGACAGGGTATGGGAAACTACAGGGATTTAAAGCCAAATCCTCAGCTAGTAAACAAGTGTGTGTGCTGGCTGGGAGTAATCTCTGGGTGATACTTGTTCCTCTGGAATCTACTGAGGTTGGGTATAGCCATGGCAAAGAGCCCTGGTGGTACAGTGATTAAGCATTCAGCTTTAAACCTAAAGAAACGCCAGTGGTTCAAACCCATCAGTCATTCTATAGGAGAAAGATGTGGCACTTATGTAAACTTTACAGCCTTGGAAACCCCATGGGCCAGATAACTCTGTCCTACAGGGTTGCTATGAGTCAGAATCAACTTGATGGCAATAGGTTTTCATGGGATTTATAGCCATGGCAAACAGCTGGTTAAGAACCTGTTCTTTTCTCTTCTTTGGAGACCTAAATAATGGTGACAATAATGTAAACAGGACATCTGACACTATAAATTTAGCATAAATTCTTGTCTATATTATTGATCTCCAGTCAGTGCTATTCTAAGATTCAGCATGTAACTAACGTGTTGATTTAGAATCTGTTAACAGGTATTACTAAAAATAAATAATGATTAAGAAAATATTTATATGCTAAATATAAATATTCCTAAAACCAAAATGAATGTCATTTACCTCTTTGGCATAAGACTGTATCACTCCAGCTGCTTCTATTTTCCTTTTGCATCTCTGTTTAACAGTTATACTATTATTATCCAAATCTTGCATGAGCTTAAAGAAAGCCAACTCATTAAACAACACTTCAGATATTTCAACAAGAAGATCCTCACCACAGTCCTTCAGTTTTCTTCCAGCAAATTTTGCCAGTGAATCCTATTCAACAATAAACCAAACAATTTTATCTTAACATCACTGTAAACTTCAATTGTGAGTAAAGCAATACAGATGATTTAAAAAGTTTAAATTATAATACTCACCAAAAGAAGAGTAATTTTATTACTCTCAAGTATTGAAAACTAATGGCTGCTATCACTGAGTATAAATAAGTTAGTATTACAAAAATGTTACTAAGTAGGAAACTTGTTAGTTCTGCTTTAACAAATATATAAAAGAAGAAAAGAAAAAATGGTCATCTCTAAATCCAGACTCTATTTAACATAAAAGCTAGACACAAAAAAGAGAATTTCTGACAATACCAGGAGACAGATAATAAGTTGTAAGAGCTGTAAGATAGGAAAATACAAAGTCCTCCACATTTAAATTGCACTGTTAGAGTACTTTTTAAATGTCCCCATTTATCTAAGCCAATCAGTTATTCTAGCTAAATTTTTTTTCCCCCAGAAGCTGAAGAAAAAGAAAAAACAGATTTTCTTAGAGTCAGGGAAAAAAAATCTTATTTCTAAATTAATGTTTTTTCTACATTTCATAATGTCCATCATAGTGTCTACATTTATGATAGCAGCAGGCAAAAATGAGGAAGGGCTACATGGCTCTTAATAAACAAAAAAATATTTAAATTACACACAATTTCTGTTTCAGCCTGACTCCAAAATGCAGTTGTTTCTTTCTGTAGGTATAAGGCTAGCAAGCTAAAGTTAGACAAATACATTCAACTAAAAAAAATCCTAAAAATTTTTAAATAGTGCATATCACCAGAGATGTATTATACTCCTTATAAATTATGTGGTAGTATTATTAAACTAAATAGAGCCAGGATAACCTGTAAACTACAATTTATACTTTAGTCTTAATACCAACAAAATAGAAAAGTTAGAGAGATGGAAATTTACATTACACCCAGGGTTTTAAAAAAACTTATTAGACAAAGTTATAACACTGTATTGAAAACCAACTTACACACAAGCATATGAAGGCAAATGTCTATACAAGAAAACAATGCAAAGCAAAGTTCAATAGGTAAAGTTTGTAATAAAGATGAAAAGAAAATATTTCCTAATTTGGAGTAATAATATACACCACTGAATGATGTCCATGGGAAAAAACATGAGTGAATTTAAATGTAAGATATCCTTAACACAGAGTCTCTAAAGCTCTATACTATAGACATTTGTTGTTAGGTGCTGTCAAGTCAATTTTGACTCTTGGCAATCCTATGGACAACAGAATGAAACCCTGCTAAGTCCTGTGCCATCCTCACAATCATTGCTATACTTGAGCCCATTGTTGCAGCCAGTGTGTCCATCCAGCTCGTTGAGGGTCTTCCCTTTTCCACTCTCCTCTTTACCAAGCATAAGATCCCTCTCCAGGGATTGGTCTCTTCTGACAACATGACCAAAGTATGAGAGACAAAGTTTGGCCATTCTTGCTTCTAAGCAGCATTCCATCTGTACTTTCTCCAAGACAGATTTGTTTGTTGTTGTAGCAGGCCATGGAACTTTCAATATTCTTCACCAACAACACAACTTAAACACATCAAATCTTCTGTGGTCTTCCTTAATCATTTTTCAGCTCTCAAATGCATATGAGGCTATTGAAAATACCATAGCTTGGGTAAGGCGCACCTTAGTCCTCACAGTGACATCTTTGCTCTTAAACACTTTAGATAGGTCTCTTGCAGCCGATTTGCTCAAAGCATTATGTTGCTTGATTTCCTGACTGCTGCCTCCATGAGCATTCATTGTGCATACAAGTAAAACGAAATCCCTGACAACTTCAATCTTTTCTTCATTTATCATGTTGCTTATTGGTTCAGCTATGAGGAGTTTTTGTTTTCTGTTAAGGTGCAATCCATACTCAAGGCTTAGTCTCTGATCTTTGTAATGAAGTGCTTCAATTAGAGTGACACTGGGGCCACATAATTTTTTTTTTTGGGGGGGAGGCTGTTTTGTACATTACAGGATATTTTTAGTAGCATCGCAGGCTGCTACCAGTGTTGACAGATGCCAGTGTTGCTCTTTCTCTCCCACTTTGTTAGACAACCAAAATATCTCCAGACTTTGCCAAATATCTCCTGGGGGCCAAAATTGCCATAGATTGAGATCTACTGTTTCAACACAATTTAAGGTTAGTTGTATAACCTAAAAAATCCCTACCATCAACAGATGGCTTCTGGTTTTTAAATATTCCCAGATCAGTTAAAAAATATTTTCGAAAATGTCAAAGTATATCCCAAACATTTCAAATTTGAGATGTTCTCATTTGTAAAGAGAAAAATCAAAACAATTAATTCTTATTAAAGTTGGAGTAGCCCTTGGAGATAATGAAATTTTCTTTTTTAAATTAGTAAAACATCATTCCAAACAGATTCTACTAATGGATATCTACCTGAACAAGCTGTAATGCCAGAAAACAGCTGTTAAAAAATCCCAACCAGATGGTATATACTGTAAGTTAAAACTTGCCAATGTCCAAGTATAAACTCTTACCTGTAATATACTTCCAAGCTGTTTATGAAAGAACTTTACAAACTCTTTGCTCTCATCATTTTGCTGAGTAAGGGTCAAAACCATGCGTCTTACTGAAGTTAGAAGGTGAGAAGAACATACTTCATCCATGTGTTCCTGAGAAAAATCAAAGTTTGTTAGGGTATAAACTTACCTATTGCTTTAAAAATATTTAACCACATAGTATGAACTTTCATTTTTCTTATATAGATACTTCTAAATTTTCAGCTTTATATTTGCAAATACTCATAAGACCAGCCAAACTGCCCACCCTACATATGCTGAGAGATTTGGTAATTCTAACTGACCCAAAATAGATGGTGGCCAGTACTTCCCATTACTTCCTTTCTCTATCTTATGGACTACTACTCATAGTAAAGTTTCTACTTTGCTATCTATCTCTGTTACCAGTTCAATTAAATTCAACTACTCTTACAACCATACTCACCTTCTACCTAATTACCTTTCCATCATCTTCAAATGCAGGCTTTTTCAATCTTGGCACTATTAACATCTTGTGCATTGTAAATACTTAGCAGCATTCCTGGTTTCTATCCAACCAGTGGCATCACCTCAAGTTTTTAAAACAAAAAATGTCTCTAAACATATCAAAATGTCTCCTGACAGTCAAAACCAAGTCTTAACTTAATAAGCCACTTCAAGAAGTTTCATCTTCTCCTTAATCTTCATTCAGAAGCACATGCAAACTAGAAAATCATGGTTAACATTATGAGGTGAGTCCATGCAACATCGATATCAAGTAACCTCAGGTTCTAACCCTTCTTCAGCCACTAAACTCACTTGGGCAGTTCCTATAACTTTTGCGCAGGACTTTTTGTTTTAAAATATACAAACATGTAAAATAAGGTGGCCAAATTACATGGTGTCCAAGTTCCCTTCTTACACTTAAGCTCATTTTTAATAACTTATTTAATAATTATGTGCCAAGGATAGCAGTTAAAAAGAGAAAAACAACAGTCCTAGTCTTCAAGGGCTTCAAAACTAGTAGAAGAATCAGACACTCAAGTACTTAATTTAAGTTACATGCTGTCCAGGGGACTGCTTCCTATTCATCACCTAAAGAGTAGCTGGCTTACAGAAGACGCTCATTACTTGCTGAGTGTTGTTGTTATTAGGTGCTGTTGAGTCGTCTCTGACTCACAGAGACCCTACGTACAGCAGAAGGAAACACTGGCTGGTCCTGTGCCAGCTTCACGATCCTTCCTATACCTGAGCCCATCATTGCAAGCCACTGCAGTGGAGCCAATCCATCTCGTTGAGGCCCTTCCCCTTTATCGTTGACCCTCCACTTTACCAAGCATGACATCCTTCTCCAGGGAATAGTCCATTCTTACAATATGACCAAAGTAGGTGAGATAAAGTCTGGCCATCCTCGCTTCCAAGGAACATTCTGACTGCACTTCTTCCAGAACAGATTTGTTAGATCTTTTAGCAGTTTATGATACTTTCAGTATTCTTTGCCAACACCACAACTGAAAAGCATCAACTCTTCTTTGGTTTTCCTTATTCAATGTCCAGCTTTCACATGCACATGAGGCAACTGAAAATACCATGTCTTGTGTCAGGCTCACCTTACTCTTCATGAAGCTATCTTTGCTCTTCAGCACTTGAAAGAGGTTTTTGCAGCAGATGTGTCCAATGCAATATATCTTCTGATATCCTGACTGTTGTTTCCATTGGTGTTGATTGTAGAATGAAGTAATATGAAGCCTCTGACAACATCAGTCTTTTCTCCATTTATTGTGATGCTGCTTACTGGTCTAGTTGTGAGGATTTTTGTTTTTTTTATATTGAGGTGTAATCCATACTACAGACTGTAGTCTTTAATCTTCATCAGTAAGTGCTTTAAGTCATCCTCACTTTCTGCAAGCAAACTTGTGTCACCTGCATATCGCAGATTGTTAATGAGTCTTCTTCCAAACCTGATGCCACATTCTTCTTCATATAGTCCAGCTTCTCAGATTATTTGCTCAGAATACAGACTGGGTAAGTACAGTGGAAGGACACAACTCTGACACCACTTTCCCTTCCTGATTTTAAAGCATGCAGTATCCCCTTGTTCTGTTGAACGACAGCCTCCTGGTCTATGTACACGTTCCTCAAGAGTTCAATTACCCACTCCCCCCCAAAAAAGAAAAAACAAAACAAAAACCAAACTCACTGCTGTCAAGTTGTTTCCAACTCACTGTGATCCCTCCTTGGGTTTCTGAGGCAGTATATCTACAGAAGGAGATTGCCCAATCTTCCTTCCAAGGAGTGGCTGAACCACCAGCCTTCTGGTTAGTAGTCAAATGCCTTAGGCCCTACACTACCAGAATTCAATTAAATATTCTGGAATTCCCATTCTTCTCAATGTTATCCATAATTTGTTATGATTCACACAATTGAATGCTCTTGTACAGTCAATAAAACACAAGTAAACATCTTTCTGGTATTCTTTGATTACAGCCAACATCCATCTGACATTAGCAATGATATCCTTCATTCTATGTCCTCTTTTGAATCCAGCTTGCATTTCTGGAAGTTCTCTGTCTATATACAGCTACAACCATTTTTGAATTATCTTCAATAAGATTTTACTTGCATGTGATATTAATGATACTGTTACATAATTTCTACATTCTGTGGGATCACCTTTCTTTGGAATGGGTACATATATGGATCTCTTCCAGTCAGCTGGTGTGGTAGTTAACTTTGTATGTCAACGTGGCTGGGCCTGGTTGAGTGGCTGGGCAGCTGGTGGTAGTTATTCCCCATGATGAGATTGGCAACCAACTCCATAGTGGGATCTACCACAAGTAGCTGAGTAGCTGCCTTTGGGATATGGTCTGTTTCCTGTATATAAGTAGCAGCCTTGGGGATAGTCTCTAGATTATGGTACGCTTGGACCCTGCATGTAGCCATGTCGTTGATCAGCAGCCTGCCATGCTCTGCCGACCTTGGGACTTAAGATCAGGAGCAGGAGGGAGAGCTGAAGCCCAAGGTCGAGAGGCTTTCACACAGCCCCTAGAGCCTGGCACTTTGAACTTGGACTTCTAGCCTCCCAAACTGTAAGAGAATAAACTCCTATTTGTTAAGGCCATCCCATTTGTGCTATATTTCCTATCAGAGCGGTACCAGGTAACCAGAACAGTTGGTTAGCTAGCTGTGTCTTCCAAATCTCTTGGCATAGACAAGTGAGTGCCTCTAGCATGGCATCCATTTGTTGAAACACCTCAATGGATATTCTGTCAATTCCTGGAGCCTTGTTTTCCACCAATTCCTTCAGTTCCACTTGGACTTCTTCCTTCAATACCATTGGTTCTTGATCATATGCCACCTCCTGAAATGGATAAACATCGACCAATTCTTTTTGTTGCAATGACTCTGTGTATTCCTTCCATCTTCTTCTATGTTTCCTGCATCATTCAATATATTGCCCATAGAATCTTTCAATATTGCAACTCAAGGCTTAAATTTTTTCTTCAGTTCTTTCAGCTTGAGAAATGCCAAGTGTGTTCTTCCCTTTTGGCATTCCAACTTCATGTCTTTGCACATTTCATTATAAAAATTTACTTTGTATTCTTGAGCTGCTCTTTGAAATCTTCTGTTCAGCTCTTTTATCTTGTATTTCTTCCATTTGATTTAGCTACTCTCCGTTACAGGGCAAGTTTCAGAGTCTCTTCTGACATCCATTTTGGTCTGTTCCTTTCCTTCCTGTTTAATGACCTCTTGCTCTCTTCATGGATGATGTTCTTGATGTCATCCCACAATTCTTCTGGTTTTTGGTCACTGGTATTCAATACCTCAAATCTATTCTTTAGATGGTGTCTAAATCAGGAGGGATATAATCAAGGTCAGAGTTTGGCTCTTGTGGATTTTTTTTAATTGCCTTCAACTTCAACTTGAACTTTCATATGAGCAGTTGATGATCTGTTTCACAATCAGCTCCTAGCCTTGTTCTGGCTAAAGATAGTGACCTTCTCCACTGTCTCTTGCCACAGATGCAGTCAATCTGATTCCTGTGTACTCCATCTCGGGAAGTCCACCTGTATAGCCACCATTTGTGTTGTTGAAAAAAGGTATTTGCACTGGATAAGTCACTGGTCCTGCAAAATTCTTTCATGAGATTTCCAGTGTTATTTCTATCACCAAGGCCATATTTTCTAACTACCAGTGATTCTTCTTTGTTTCCAACTTGCACATTCCAATCACCAACTGCATGTTCAGTCAATTTTAGACTGCAGAAGTTGGTAAATATCTTTAATTTTCTTGTCTTTGCCTTTGGTGGTTGATGCATAAATATGAATAATAGTAGTATTAACTTCCTTGTAGGCATATGGATATTATCCTATCACTGACAGCGTTGTACTTCAGGATACATCTTGAAATATTCTTTGTGATGATGAATGCCATATCATTCTTCTTCAGTTTGTCATTCCTGGCATAGTAGATCATACGGTTGTGTGATTCAAAATGGCCCAAACCTGTCTATTTCAACTCACTAATGCCTAGGATATCAATCTTTATGCATTCTATTTCATTTTAGACAACTTTTAATTTTCTCAGATTCATACTTCATACATTCCATGTTCTGATTATTAATGGATGTTTGCAGCTGTTTCTTCCCATTCTGAGTCATGTTGCATCAGTAAATGGAGGTCCTGAAAGCTCTACTCTATCTACATCATTAAGGTTGGCTCTACTCTGAGGAAGTAGCTCTTTCCCAGTCATATTTTGAATGCCTTCCAACCTGAGGGTTCATCTTCTGGAACTGTATCAGATAATATTTCAGGGCTATTCATAAAGTTCTCCAGTAATATATCAGACAGTGTTTCACTGCTATTCCTAAGGTTTTCACTGTCCAATTCTTTGAGAAGTAGATGGCCCCTTCCTCCTTCTGAGTCTGTCTTAGTCTGGAAGCTCCACTGAAACATGTCCACCATGGGTAGCTCCATTGGCATTTGAAACATTGGTGGCATAGCCTCCAGCCTCACAGTAACAAGCAAGCCACCACAGTATGACTAACAGACAAGTTTGCCTCCCTTAGCTGTTTCAAACTTCTCCACTTTCTTCCTGGCCTCCCCCCTACCTGTTCCGGCCATCAGCTGGCCCCT